CCCCAAAACCCCAAAACCCCAAAACCCCAAAACCCCTCGTTTGTAAGCTCTAATTGAATCCTTCGTTATTTACTAATTTAGAGTTTATCATCATCAAGCTTAATTCCATTTTGGCTTAAATAAGATACAACTTGTTCAGGAACCTCTTCCAAGACTTCCTCAGCTAAGGCCTGGGTGCTTCCATGCCGGAATTCATTAAATTTGACGAACTGGACGATATCTCTACGTGTAGCCTCTCCTTTTGTGTTCCGAAGAATGATATCATCGCCATCCAATTCTATCATTTTGTGGAAGGAATTTTCACCAAGACCGATTATAATAATACTGAGTGGATAATGGCTTCCTTCGACAATGATGTCTCTGGTCTTAGGCATGTCATGGATATCCCCATCTGTCAGGATCAGAAGTATATGATACATCTTTTCATCAATTCGATCTTTAATGTAATCGACTGTCTTCCTCATTCAGCTTCCAAAATGAGTGGGTCCATAAAGTTCGCAATTGAGAAGGGAAAACTGGTATGCATCGAGGATTCCTTCGACTCCATCTACCTCTGGCTCTTCCTCACCATTCAAGTGGAAGCAATGAGATACTTTCCTCTTTTCTGCATACTTAGGAATACCTCCAAACCCATATCAAGGGTACTGATGATTGTAATCGTAAACTTCCAAGATATTCCCAACTTGTTTGATCGCATTTTGGTAGTCATTGTATTTTCCCGTAGGATTCAAAAAGTGTAATGAGGAAGGACGTCTAATATCTCCATTTGATGCAGTGAAGTCAACTCACACCATGAGGTTCATCTTCCACCCTGAGTGTAAGAAATCAAAGAATGAAGCTCTTTCTTCTAAGAAAAAATTCTCGAAGTATCAAACTGAATCCAGACGTAATCCATTCTTGAACAGATTGTACTCAGTTTGTCCGCTCCTGATATTTTCTATACTAGTTTCAAACTCTCCAAAAAAGCGATGATGTCCGCTGTTTCTCCATGAGTAAACTTTAAACTTAAGAGGTCACTCGAGGTCTCCATTACAGATTTCCTTAGCATCATATTTGAGTGCTGGCCAAGTGGGATTTAGATTATTTCTGACAGGCTCAGTTTGGATGACCCTCAGAAATTCTTTCTGATTACTCTCCCTCGCTCTCTCGATAAAAACGAAGGGATCATCACTGCCTCAGAACCACCCTTTATTGGATTTTAGGTGATTGATTCTCATTGAGAAGTAAACGATGTCGTTATTAGAAGAGACTTTCTCAGCCCTAAGGATGATCTGGCCTCTAGACTTCTTTTTCTTCTTGTTTGGGAGAGTAAGTGTACCTGTGAGAGTAGTATTGATACCTCCCATGATCTCTCCAAGGGTAGTTTCAAAATTTCCAATAAGTCCCATACAGGTGACATCAACGTCGAACACTTCGACTTTAACCTTCTGTATTTTCTCGAAGTAATAGTCCATTTCGAAGTATGTTACAAAATCAGGGTTGAGGTTGTTCTCTATCTGCTCTGTTTTGCCGAAGAGTTTCCAGTCATTTGGCCTTTCAATGTCGGCTACGTAGACATGGCAGACTGGGTCAGAGACTGTAATGATGTCCAGATCGGCTAACTTCCTGCATGAGATATGCAAGGTTATTTTCTCAGTGGGTTCTCCTATGTTGTATACACTTTGGGAGTCTTCGTCCATTATTTTTAAGTAATTAATTTTTGGTTCATTTAGATCAGTTAAATGGGGTTTTGGGGTTTTGGGGTTTTGGGG